ATGAATTTTTTTTTTTTTTTTTTTTGGACCCAACCAACCCAAATCAACCGCAAATTTTCACAACCCAACCCAACCATCTATCCATTAGGTTCAAGTTGGGATGTCCGATTGTTAGAATAAATTTAAAATTTTAAAACTAAAACGTTTTAAAAGGTTTTATTTATTCTCTTGTTCAATATAATCTTAGATAAACTATATTAAAAAATCACGAACACAAATTAAAATAAATTCATCAATAACAATACGAGAAAATTGTAACGTCCTACCATAGTTCAACATTGCCATAATTAAATACCGATACTTCTTAAAGAATTGGTTACTCTATAAATAAAGAAGATATAAAGATAAATCATGAAATTAAACTAAACCTAACAAAAATAAAAAAAAATATTATATTTTTTTTCAGTAGCTTATAATTATTAGAAAAGGGCCTCCAATTATTGGAAAATAAAGGAAAAATATAAATTATGATATAATAATGGATAATTGTTAGGTTATGGAGCATGTTTGTTTATAGTTTAATAGAAAAATATAAATTATGATATAATAATGGATAATTGTTAGGTTATGGAGCATGTTTATTTATAGTTTAATGAACGGTTATACAGTAAAACTATATTTCGTAAATGACCTATATAAAATGTCATAAATAGTAAATAGCAATGTAGGGTAAAAAGTTATATCTGGTACTATATATATATATATATGATATAGTAGATGATTATATCTGGTAAAGCTATATATAGTGAGCTAAACCATATATATATATCCCTCCGTTAGAAATTTAATTTGAAAATGTACTTTTTATTATTTTCTGTATTCTCATTGCATTTTCTCTATCCTGTTCTTTGTGTTCATCTATATCGAGTGTGTGCGTTGTTGTGCGATCTTAACAGCTGGTATCAGAGCCAAGTTGAAGTCGAGTGTGTGCGTTGTTGTGCGATCCTAACAACTAGTATCAGAGCCAAGTTGAAGTCACCACGATCTGTGAAGATGGAAAGTTCAAGATTGGAATTGAGAAGTTCAATGAATTCGATTTCGATTTCTGGAAAATGCAGATTGAAGATTATCTGTATTAGAAAGGTCTTCACAAACCCCTATTGGGGGTGAAGCCGAATACCATGACCACGGAACAGTGGAAGCTCAAGGATCGACAAGCCTTAGGGTTGATTTGGTTAACGCTATCCAGAAACGTGACGTTCAACATCATCAAGGAGAAGACAACGTCAGATCTGTTGAAGGCATTGTCGAATATGTATGAAAAATCGTCGGTTATGAACAAGGTGTATTTGATGCGGAGATTATTCAATCTACAGATGTCTGAAGGTGGATCTGTTGTTGATCATATAAATGAATTCAATATGATCGTAACTCAACTGAGTTTGGTAGAAATTAATTTCGATGATGAAATTAAAGCATTAACTTTGATGTCATCTTTACCCGAGTCGTGGGATACTGTTGTTGCCGCAATCAGCAGTTTCCGAGGATCTGATAAACTGAAGTTTGATGAAATTTGAGATGTAGTTCTCAGCGAAAGTATTCACAAACGAGAAATTGGAAATTCATCTGGTAGTGCTCTTAGTGTTGACCAACGGGGAAGAAGTAAACCGGAGGGCCCAAAGGGCGATCAAAATCAAAGAACCGAGAAAATTCTTCAAATAGACCAAACGTAACATGTTGGAATTGTAGAGAAAAATGTCACTTTGGGATAGATTGTACAAGTCCAAAGAGGAAGTAGAATCACAAATTTGGAGATGATGATGATTCTATAAATCCTCAACGTGGACAGTTCGATTGAATCCTGGATTTTGGATTCAGGTGCATCTTTTCATTCATCTCCAAATAAAGAGTTGTTCCAGAATTTCGAGCCTGGAATTTTCGAGAAGGTGTATCTTGCCAACAACAAAGATTTGGAGATTAAAGGAAAAGGGGATATCTGCATAAAAACTCCGGCAGGAAATCAGTGGACATTAAAGGATGTCAGATATATTCCTGGTCTCAAGAAGAACCTGATCTCTATTGGTCAGTTAGACAGCACAGGTTATGCAACAAAGTTAGGGAAGAGTTCGTGGAAGATTATGAAGGGTGCTATAGTGGTAGCACGTGGCATAAAATCTGGAACTTTATACACCACTACAGGGTGTATGAACATGGCTGCTGTTGCTGAGAGTGCTTCAAATTCAAGTCTATGGCACAATAGACTTGGACATATGAGCGTGAAAGAAATGAAGATGCTGGCTGCGAAAGGAGTTTTAGAAGGTCTGAAATCTGTTGATGTGGGTCATTGTGAGAACTACGTTAGGAGCAAGCAGAAATGAGTTAGCTTCATAAGGACCGCCAGAGAATTGAAGAAAGTGGGAGTTGAGCTTGAGTTGCAAGGAATCTTACCTAGTGATGTTGTAGCAGATACTCATGAAACTCTTGAGACTACTGCTGAGGAACCAGATGTCGAGCAAGGTTCCAAGACCACGAAGCAAGTGGGAGACTCTTGAGACTACTGCTGAGGAACCAGATGTCGAGCAAGGTTCCAAGACCACGAAGCAAGTGGGAGTTGAGCTTGAGTTGTAGAGAAACTCACCTAGTGATGTTGTAGCAGATACTCATGAAACTCTTGAAACTACTGCTGAGGAATCAAATGTGGAGCAAGGTTCCAAGACCACAAAGCAAGTGGGAGTTGAGCTTGAGTTGTAGAGAAACTCACCTAGTGATGTTGTAGCAGATACTCATGAAACTCTTGAAACTACTGCTGAGGAATCAAATGTGGAGCAAGGTTCCAAGACCACAAAGCAAGTGGGAGTTGAGCTTGAGTTGTAGAGAAACTCACCTAGTGATGTTGTAGCAGATACTCATGAAACTCCTGAAACTACTGCTGAGGAATCAAATGTGGAGCAAGGTTCCAAGACCACAAAGCAAGTGGGAGTTGAGCTTGAGTTGCAGGGAAACTCACCTAGTGATGTTGTAGCAGATACTCATGAAACTCCTGAAACTACTGCTGAGTAACCAGATGTGGAGCAAGTGTAACAGCAAAAAAAAAAATATATATATTATTATGTAAAATAATAATAATAATAATTAATAAGTAAAGAAAAACAATTGTTCCCTTGTTTACACACCAAGTGTAGTCACTTTCCCCAATAATCTCTCCTCAAGCAAAAATGAAACAGAAATAAAAAATCTCAGATTTGAGAAAACAGAAATGCCTGCATCAAATTTATAGGAGATGAGTTTGCGATCAAGATTTACATGAGAGAGAGATTTGAGATTTCGAGTTCCTGCAAAAATGAAACAGAAATGAAAAATGTCAGATTTAAGAAAACAGCTTGTATCAAATTGATAGGAGATGGATTTGCAGAGATATCAATATTTACATGGGAGAGAGATTTGAGATTTTTCTGTAAGTTATATCTCACATCTCTTCTTCTTTATCCAATTATTTAGTTTTATTTAGCAATTTAACTCGTCAGAAATATCGTCAGGATCAACCGGAGGAAAAAAGGTAAAATCTATTAAATTGACAAAAAATAATTGCTAAACTAATTGAAAAGGTAACCAACAAAAATAAAAAAAAGGTTAAACAGATTTAAAGAATTTCTTCTCTCCTGCCAAAACAAACAGAAAAAAAGAAAGGTTCAGATTTAGTTTTGACAGTAAAAAATATTTTTTTAGAAAGAGATTTTGCATTTGAAGAGGTTAATAGGTATTAAATGGTTTGTATAAAAATAATACTATAACAAACATATATAAATATTTCAAGACCTAACTCAGGCAAAGACTCTAACGTTCGCATAAAGTATAACACATGGATCAATATAAATGAGAGAAACAATTTTATAGAAATTCAAACTTGAATCTGATGTCATGGGCTCACATAGGTTGACTTGGAGTTCAATGGACTTTCATTAAGGATAACGACGGAATCGAACTTTCATTAAGGATATATTCGTGACAACGACTTAAGCTAACCAGGTAAGTGACCTTACTATCGGCATAGTTATATTTGATGTTGACACGTGCCCTGTGGTTCTGCGCATGTCATATATATTGATATGTGTGAATTGTCTGTGGATCGATATGCTTCCTATATGTTATGTTATGTTATGTTATTATATGTGGTTTGTATGATAATAATTATGGTACGATGTGCTCAAGAATATGTTTGAGATAGGATACGAGAAGGATGCACAAAACGAAATGTAACGATAGAAGTAAAATACGTTCATGAAA